CATTTGAAAACAAACACGTCAATCACCGATTTCTCGCGAATAAAACGTCAATCTCGAAAATTAATAACAGGATCAGATAGGTAGATAGAGATGGCTCTGTCATTTGGTATAGTTTGTTTACAAGATTGAGCTTTTATTCGTGAGAAATCGGTGATTGACGTGTTTGTTTACAAAACCAATTACGCCCAAATCTCAAAAAACTCCGGAAATATTGCAATTTAAAATACTATATGAAAGGTTCAGATTCACCTCAATAACTTTATTCAATCGATTGTTTTGGTAATTTTACCGACCATGCCCGGACAATGGCAGACGTGTCTGAGTTCAATATAATCGGAATGACTGATTAATATAAAGTCCATGAGTTTTGAGTAATCGTGTTGCTTCTAGCCTGGTTTTGGTCACTTGTTTAAAGGGTCATCTGGAAGATTTCTTGATATGGCAGTAATTCTCTAAGCATTGAATGTATTACATGATAGATTCTTATATGACAACATGATATTAAATCTTAACACGGAAACGTTGCTATTAATTGAAGTGACGCACGATACAAAGATGTAGAAAAACAAAAAGTATTTTTCGGGTTAAAATATACAATTTAAATATACAAAATATCATATATTAGTAATTTCTATAAATATGTATGTGTATATGTTACAGTAATGTTATGAAAAAAAATCATTAATATAATAAACACATAAATATAAAAAAAAATACCCGTTTTCAATCAATTTGAAAGGGTATAAAGAATGCTAATGTTTTTGAAATTTTCAAAAAGGATTCTTCATGTTGGGCAAAAATCGTATAATACGTAAACTTTTGGTAAATATAAAAATATGGAATCAGTGTAAACAAACATTATCGGTCAGAGCGATCCTATCCGTATTTTATTTTTGTATTCTAACATCAAGTACTCATTAATCCGTGTGAATTTGTTTTCTGTGTGAATTACTCTTATATGCTTGGTCTCTACTATGCTTGGACAATAAATTTGACAAAACAGAAATAGATATTTCCGATATGATCCAGAGAAAGCAAGACATGAAAAACGAACCCATTATTTGGCGTGCTTTATGGCGGGTGTTGAAAACAATGGCGATGATCACCGATCTTTCAGCAGAACAAATAAAACCGCATGAGTGCAATATTTTCCCCATGCTACAAAGCTGTAATATTTATATAATTAAAATACACATCAAAATACAATATATTACAGTACTTACAACTTCGGTGTTTTCTCGCATTGGAATAGCCAACAGATCGATGTGCTCTTCCAATGCGCCCGGCACGCTTGCTTTCACTGATCTATTGTGACTGTGATCATTGACAGCACGGGCGTGTCCGAGAAAACCCCGAAGAACGACAAACAAACACACAACAATATCACACATTTCTTCAAGCGGTTCGTCGAGAGGTTACAAACGCAACAGCGGGCTACAAAGGGTGTGTTCTTTCAAATGTTAATTTCAGCATCTTATATAAATAAGTTAAAGACCATCATCTTTCCATCAATTTCGGTTTAAACTTTAGTGGAAAGGTTTTATTATAAATGTCTTTGCAGGGGGCGACCCCGGCGTAGTGGTTAAGATCCATACCTCTCACGCTAAAGTCACGAGTTCATCTCTCACCCTTGGACAAGTCCGAAAGTCTTTGAGCGTTAAAGTGACTATAATAATAATTAAAAAAAAATGTCTTTGCGATTCATGGAGAACTGCAAATCCTTAATGAGTATTGCCCTACAATGTAGCGAGTGAAATGCAATGCCAAGTAATAGAATAAGTGCTACCATAAATAAAATAATAAATTTTAATTCGTGAGCAATACTGTCAGTTCACAGTTCACAAAGCCGTATTTTTTGACGCCACGTGAAGTGAAACTTGTAAGGGGCTGTTCATAAAATACGTTGACAGCTTAGGGGGGGGGGAGGGTTTGCAATCATCCACGGCCCATACATTTTTTTTTGTATGGACGATTATCTACGCAGGGGGAGGGGGGGGGGTTCAAGAATCTCAAAAAACTGCGATTTGTTAAGTAAAACCAATCCTTGCTATGCTGGCATAACGATTAAGATTGATTGTATTCTTTTATGAAGTCGCCAGGAAATATCAGCTGGCGTTTTGTTTTTTATGATAACTCCTTCCTTGAAAACGGGCGAAACCTCACCGGCTGGCTGCTTTTTCATGGTATAGAGGGTGATAATACAATAATCAATCAATTATCTCAACATTCAGTTCAACAGTTATTAATCATGTTCGTGGAACTTCCAAAAACTTAAAATACTTTGAAAATCCCAGGGTTACCGGAACTATCAAAAATCTAGATTTTCGAAGAACATAAAAAGATCCATGGAACTCTTTATCTTGTGTAAAATCTTCAGAAATTCTTGTACTAGATCTTCAACTCTTTCACCACACCGACAACACCTAAAACTTTAAGGACTCAAAGAATTTGAAACATTAAAAGAACAATAACTTTAAAAGCCCTTGAGAAGGTTCCTAAAGTACCCTGATCAGTGATCCACTAGTTTTGATAGCTTCGAAGGCTCCTTAAGTTTCGGAAGTTTCTAGATTACTCCCGGTGTTCAGAGCTTATCGGGCATTACCTTTAGTTCTCAGAGTAGCTGAAGCTTTTTGGAAGCAGGAGAAGTGTCATGAATTACAGGATAAGCTAGGCCTCCGAATGATCCGGAACATCCTTAAAAGAGGCCAATTTATGAAGCGGGCCCTAGAGCTCCGCGATTTATTCGAAAACATTTGTATTTGGGTTATATTAATTTATGGTGGCTGGGGTCCGGAAGATCCAGAACAACCTTAAAAATGGTGAATTTATGAAACTGATCTAAGAACCTCTCACAGTTAAAATTATTTTGTAATTTTACACGAATTTCCATGCACATAAAAAAGCATGCATATTCATGTAAAATTAAATTGGTTTTTTAATTTACACGGCTTGAAATTTACATGCTTTTAATATTAAACGTCACTGGAATTTTACATGGATGACTTAAGATGGGCTCATCTTGTAATTTTACAGGACATTTAAAATTATACGCAACCGTCGTTGGGCTCGTTGTCTTTTTGTAGAGGAATCTCAATTGCGGGAACGAAATTGCAACGTTCCCGGAAAACTTTTTGAGATGTACGCTGATCTAAATATGCCAGCAGATTCGAACATGACATCGAAAATGCTACGGTTGCACAATTTGTGACCTTCATGATGTTTTGATGCATGTTTTGCCACCAAGTTAGCACTATTTTCCACAAAATTGCACGTGGAAACGAACAATGAAAAGCTAATTTTTAAAATAAAAGTGGCACTCCGGAAAAACACATTCCATAGAACTAAGCTCACAAATCTTACAATACAACATTTTCCACTAAAGAAATGACTCGAGCTATATCCTGCGGAGAACAAAAAACTGATCGAATAATCGGTCTGTTCGCCATATTAGCTTCCTCAATTTGTTTGATGATTTAAATTTACACGAGTGGTGATATTACACTACAAGTGGAAATTAATCGCATTAACGTGTAATTTTATAAGTTTTATCATGTTCATTTGATGTGCATGATTTTTAATGTAAAATTTAATTAAAACATAGTTTAAAGCGATGTAATTTTAAAATAGTTATGGTTTACATGTGATGTAAAATTCCTTATTTTTTGTTGTGTGCATTACGTTGCTCGTTATTACATTTTTTGCTGTGTACGTCATCAATGCATGGTCCCTAAGCGGACTCATTGTCTTCTGACACGTGGTTGATTTTTAATATTATTTACATTTGTGAGGGAAAATGAGATAGGTCAAGTAGACAATAACGATACCGTAAGGCACCAAAGCCCGGACATATAATCTACAAAACCAGTTTAAAAGAATATCATTAAGGCCAAATATGATGCAATGGTCCATATGCTTCAACAAACAATTTGAATTGATTAAAGGTTGAATAAGCAATTTTTTAGCTGAAGAAGCAAATTTTTGCCGGAATAAGCACTAAATTTTTCCATTATTTATGGTGAAAAGTGGATGTGATATTTAATTAAAATGTTAAATGTCCGAATTGAAAACAGCCGCTACGGTATAAGCTGATTAAGAAATGTAGCATACTTCATAGCTAAATTTATGTTCACACCTAGCATCGTTTCAGATCTCCTTCGAAGACAACTGTTTGCTATGATTCCATCAGACAGATATTTGCTCAAAACAAATAAAGAAAGTGCCGAAATCAATAGATGCACACATGAAGTGATTGAAAACAATTAAGCATACGATGCTACTGGCATTAATTACCCATTACCTCACCACCGCGACCCGGTCAGGTGTTAACGAGAAGCTTCAACCCCGGATTGCTTCACTCAATTTAGCTAATTTGATTTTTGAACGTGGCACACTCACTGGCTGCATTGTGTCTGCAGTAGTCTCTCGCATCACGCGTAAACAAAAATTATGTAATTTAAAAAGTTTTACTGTGTACATCGACGTGCCACTGCTGAGCTTTTATCGACACTAGTCAAACTGCAGCTCGACATATTTATATATAATAAATATATACGTTTAGTGTTGGCCGGTTGCAGACTCTCTCACACCTTCATGATGTAATGATGAAGTCCGGCTCACTGAATGCTCTTACACGCTTAATCATGGGGAAAAATCGCAGCAAATAAGAACGAAAGTAAAAGTAATTGTGCACTCGTTCGCCCATATGTGCGCTCTACAGTTTGGTATCGCCACTCATGAAGAAGCGTAAAAGGCTTGCAAAATGTGATGATTGCGGTTCACGGAAAGTAAAACAGTACGGATAATTGGCTTCCTCTTTTGAGCCACCCTTTTTTCAGGATTTTCCATCGTGCTCGATGAAGTATAATATCCAATCAATACTGAAAGTTCGGTCGTTTAGTTACGCAATCATATCCGATAAATTCGAAATATGCCATGCTGGCGGTTACATTTCCCTGTAAGGCGTGGTCACTGTTAGGGAAAAACTGGATTGGTATACTCACATGCACTAGCCGACAGCAAAAGGCAAACGGTAACGAAACGATTCATTTTAACTAACTACCTTTTTGAAACTTATATTCTACTTGAGTATCAACACTTCACTCCACTTGAGCCTTCGGATGTGCAGAATCCACTGCAAAACTATAGCACGGTTCCGCCAAGACCTCCAATGCTGAACAATGCTCACGACACACTACCAAACACTTCGAAAGGCTTGAATGAACTAGCGAGCTGAAGTGATAATACTCTTACTTTTGATGAATCCCTCTACCAAACTGATGGGGAACAGCGTGTCTGGGTGTCACCGGTGGGTGCGGTAGGTTGTCTCGTTTGCTACGGCTGCGGTTGTTTCTGCTATATGTGGCTGAGTGGAAAACAACCGTATCTTGATATCCAAGCCGAGGTGAAGCCGAAGTCGCGCATTTTGCGGCCAACCGCCACGCTGGATGCCGCCGACGCGCCTTTTGGTGGATATAACACACATATACGACGTGCTTTGCATATATGTTTTTCCTTACGATGCCTTATGTGCCACCTGCAAACGAGCACAATCAAAAACCGTTGCAGAGTGCAACGACAGCAAACGATTGGCACGTAAAGATCGATTTACGGGACATTAAGCTGGCTAATTGTTTAAATACTTCAATTGTTGGCCATCACGGTGGGACATCGAATTTCCTGTTACGCCGTTGCAACGGGCAGAAACAGCATGTCATTCCACACAACAATTAGTTGATAAAGTTTTCATAAGAACGTAATTTTTAATTTGAAAACCAATCTCGCAATTACCATCAGTTTTACCCAGCAGGAAACCGAAGTCAATGATTTATGACTTCAATCTGTTCAACTGTCGAAAGCGTATTCTTTCAAGGTGTTTGTGTTTCTTTTATCTATTTTATTGATTCATTGATTCCTATATTGAATAAAACACGACGCGTTGCATTGCATGTATAGAATACAATAGTCAAAAACCGATATGACATCATTTTAGAACTGTTGTCAACCTAATGATGTGTGCAACTGGTCGAAAATTCAAATTTCAGAGCACCATTGATGGAGTTGCTTAGCATACGCCCTTTCAAACCGGTTGGTTTGATGAAAGATCAATCGTTCCGTTGCTCTTTTTGTTAGTTGGAATTATGCTCAAACGGATTCTAAAATTATGCTAGAACACGTGCTACAAGTTAATTCAAAAATAAATTGGTTTTTTTTCCGTGATTTATTTTCCGTGCTGAGCACCAATGCTACTGACGCCAGGGAGGCAGCTCCCACAGCTAAACCCTACCTATCGACCCATCAACTCATGAACCGGGGACCAACGGATTTACTTCCCTTCCGAAGGAAGGCGTTATCAGAGATGTTATGCCTCAGAACATTCCGCCGGTGCCGACTGGGATTGAACCCAGGCCTACTGGGGTGAGAGGTAATAACGCTTATCACTACACCACCGGCGACGCTAAAAATAAATTTGTAGTATTACCACAGACAAACAGACATAACACTCGCATGTTGTTCATCGAACAAGCATTTAACGGTATTACCATAGAGGTAACTCTAAGACCAGAAGGTTCCGAAGAAACGTGCTCAACTTGTTGGACCAGCTCTGGTACCATCTTCGGTCCCAAGCTAATCGATGCACCCCTCGAAACATAGGAAAATCCACGCACCCCTCATTTTATCTGTCAAACTTTCATAGCAAATCAAAATAAACATAGTGTAGTAGAAGAATCGAGGGAGACGACTCTATCTACGATGCAGAAAAGATTGTGTTTTGCTGTGGCTAGCTGCACGCACGCTGAGTAGATAAAACAAAGATTTGTGTCGATTTTGAAGATTTCCTGCAAAAAGATGAAGCACGATGCAAGTAGATGCGAGAAATGAAAGATGATTTTTCGAAGATTGATTCGCTAGTGTGAGATTTTTTGAGCATCTAGAATTGAGATTTAGATGTGTCGCCCCCCTCGAGTAGAATCAACAATCAATACGAAACTAACGATTTTAAATTGGCTCACTACTTGACTAGCCTATTGGTCCCAAGCAAATCGATTAACGTAGCCCATTCTAATCGAAATTCTAGTACTACAGTATGTTTGTTTTGATTCGCTATGAAAGTTTGACAGATAAAATAAGGGGTTCGTGGAATTTCCTATGTTTCGAGGGGTGCATCGATTAGCTTGGGACCGAAGATAGTACCAGAGCTGAGCCAAAAGGTTGAGCTCGTTTCTCCGGGACCTGCTGGTCTTAGAGTTATCTCTACGGTAGAATTTCGACTAGAATGGGGTATGCTTATAAATCTACTTGAAACCAATAGGCTAGCCAAATAACAGTAAAACCTTTCTGAGGCATAAAATCTCGCTGGTTTATGAGTTGATGGGCCGATAGGAAGCAAGGGCGTAGCCAGCTTTAGAGCTAGGGAGGGGCGAAAAAAAATTACTATGGAAAATTTGGCAATTTTTGTCCGGGAACGAGGGAATGGTTGGTAGTTATTTTTGCATTCATGACCCGGGGTACGGACACAACAAATAAATGGTAAATTAAAATTAACTATTGTTGGCTTAATAAAAGAATATTGTTATTTTTACAATAGTTGCAGTTGAAAAGTGGCTTATTAAAACAAAAAGAATCTTATTTTGAATTTATTTGAATAAGTATTTTCGAAACAATAAAATGCAATATAATTTCAACCGGAATTGTTTATATAGTTGAAGATGCTTATTTCAAATAACAGACTAAAGTGGTAATTTTTATACGATAGATGGAGGAGATGAAAGTATAGAGTTGATAGTTCCGTTAGAGTACGGCAGTGTGAAAATTGCATATAAAGGGTGATACGGTCAAAATTTGGTCAATATCAACTTGACGTATTTCTTTCAATTTTGCATTTAAAAAACCTGAACACCCCTCATTTTGAAGGTGTGTGTGTGTGTAGAATGTTGCTCCTATTTTGATTTTGGAATTCACTCTTCAGTTGTCAAAATGCCGTCCAAGCAAGAAGAGCAGCGTATCAAAATTTTGCTCGCGCATAGCGAAAATCCGAGCTACTCGCACGCAAAGTTGGCAAAATCGCTAAAAGTTGCCAAATCAACCATTACAAATGTAATTAAAGTGTTTGGGGAACGTTTGTCGACAGCCAGGAAGTCTGGATCGGGGGGAAATCGAAAACCGGAAGCCGCTGAGACGACAAAGAGAGTTGCCGGTAGTTTCAAGCGAAACCCTAACCTCTCTCTCAGGGATGCCGCAAATAAGCTGGGTGTATCGTCTACAACCGTGCATCGAGCCAAAAAACGAGCCGGACTATCGACTTACAAGAAGGTAGTGACTCCAAATCGCGATGATAAACAAAATACGACGGCCAAAGCGCGATCCCGGAGGCTGTACACGACGATGCTGACGAAGTTTGACTGCGTGGTAATGGACGACGAAACCTACGTCAAAGCCGACTACAAGCAGCTTCCGGGACAGGAGTTTTATACGGCAAAAGGAAGGGGAAAGGTAGCAGATGTTTTCAAGCACATGAAACTGTCAAAGTTCGCAAAGAAATATCTGGTTTGGCAAGCCATCTGTACCTGTGGCTTGAAAAGCAGCATTTTCATAGCTTCCGGGACTGTCAACCAAGAAATTTACGTGAAAGAGTGTTTGAATAAACGTCTGCTGCCTTTCCTGAAGAAACACGGTTGTTCCGTACTGTTTTGGCCGGATTTGGCATCTTGCCATTACGGTAAAAAGGCCATGGAGTGGTACGCCGCCAACAACGTGCAGGTGGTTCCCAAGGACAAGAACCCTCCCAACACGCCAGAGCTCCGCCCAATTGAGAAATACTGGGCTATTGTCAAGCGGAACCTAAAGAAGACCAAAAAAACAGCTAAGGGCGAGCAGCAGTTCAAGGCAAACTGGCTTTCTGCGGCGAAGAAGGTGGACAAGGTGGCTGTACAAAATCTGATGGCAGGGGTCAAGCGTAAGGCCCGGCAATTCGGATTTCGAAAAGCGGAAGCCTAACTAAATATTTTTCCTGAATTTTATACTAATTGAACTTGAAAAAGAAATTTAATTTGATTTTTTAAATAAACGATTTCACCGATTTACACGCGTTTTCCCTTGACCAAATTTTGACCGTATCACCCTTTAGATAGTAGATAGCGAGCTAGGACAACTTTTAAGGAAGGTACAATTCGGTTTTTTCGGAATTGTTTGTTTAAATACAAATAATTTTTTTTTTGGTTCAATGCAAACAATTTTCTGTCCGTGTACTACTCGGGACCTTCTGGTCTTAGAGTTACCTCTTTGCTTGTACTGTGCATTAATTTGTCGAGGATATTCGGGGCATCAATTTCTCCTTACAGCATTTTCGTCACAAAAACTGCTTGAGCGATGGAGTGCCATCGTTCGAGCGCCTCTAGTCCTAGAAGTTGGCAACGCTCTTGATGAGGCGGTAATTTGGAGGAATCATTCCACGGAAGAGTACGAAGAGCGTATCAACCGAATTTTTTCTGCACTGTTTCAATCCTAGAAATACAATTGGCATGATATGGACACCAAGCAACCACAGTTGATTCCAAAATGGATTGTACCAGCGAACAATACAGGGATCGTAGACAGAGTGGATCCCGAAACCCTGAAGAAATTTTGAAGATGAACTCAAGCTGCCTATTTGCATTAGATAAAACATCGCTGTAGTGTACTCGAAATGTAAGGGCACTATCTGGCATAACGCCCATGTTTCGTACTTGAGTTACTCGTTGCAGGGGCTATCCTGCGATAGTGTTGTCAAAAACAAACGGTTTGATCATTCGATGGAAGGAAAATGCTAACTGTCATGAAATTACGAAAACACCACATTTCAAAGCAACCCACCATTATCTGAAGCTCCAAACATTCTAGTAGACTCCTAATTATCATGTAGATCTTGACATCGTCGGTGTAACACATACGGCATCCAGGTGGAAGCATAATGTTGATTTCATTGATGAATAGCACGAATAGCAATGGCCCCAAATTACTTCCTTGAGGTACCCCGGAAATGTTGGAAAATGTCTCAGATAGTTCAGATCCGATTTTGACAAACAGCGAACCAAGTGACAAAAGCAGGAGACAACCCATTTTTTCCAGTCAAGCTAGTAATATTCCATGGTCAACACGATCGAACGCGGCTTTGTGATCTGTATAGACAGCGTTGACTTGGGCACCAGAATCCATGCTTTGTAGGCATGTTGAGAGGAATTGAACTGATCTTTAAGACACATCGTTTTTGAAAGAATCCGTGTTGTTCAGTGGAACCGTAGCGCTGACAT